TTAATTTCATCAGATTCTGGAACGCTTTCTCAGGAATAAGCTTCAACATGTTATTTGATAAGTATCTAAGAAGAAAAAAATTAAACTCCGCCCTCTGAGCTATGCAAATGGTTGCCTCTTATGTTACTGTGTAATATGTGATACAAAAATATTATATGCTTCATACATTTGGACAACAATGTACAATCAAGGTCGCTGTTTTAAATTTAAAATTTTTAAGATTTTTTAAGATTTTAAATTTAAGCCCTGTTGATAATAAAGGTTTGTTTCGATCGAAGATCGCCTTAGATTAATGCTTTAAGGTAGATGATTAAAAAGAATGGCAATAGCCCAATTTCGAGTTGCCGCATGTTTGAAGTCTGGTTGCGAAACTACGGCACGAGAGTGAGGACAAGTGCATAAAAATCCGACATGAACGCTACTGAAGATTTCTTGAAATACATGGTTGACGGTTTGAAAAAGTACTTAAAAGAGCGTGGCATTTAGTTGAGTGATGGAGGTAAAGGGAGAAGGAAGGCAGAGTTGGTCGATTTGTGCGGAAAGGCGGCAGAAATGAAGCAAGCGAAGCTTGAAGATACTGTCGAAGACTACAACAAGCTGCTCTAGGAGAAATTACAGACGGAGGGCGGTAAACTGTCAGACCCGAATACCTTAACGGCTTGGACCAACAACTTTTGGATATCCCGGAGTTTACATTCGGAGATTTGTACAGGTATCTAGGGGGAAGAGAGGAATGCTCTGAGAAAAACCTTCGTTCTTTTAAGAGTCTCTTGGGCTATAAGTTGTATGACGATTGCCATGTTACGGATTTGAGGTGTTGTCCCATAAAACAGAAAGAAATATATTTCTTTAAATTTAAAGTTAAGCCAACCGAGAGGGCGAAAACAGAAGATGGACAGACTACTTACAGAATCTTTATACATTTGAAAGCGAGTGGAGAAGTTCACTCTGCTCATTCTCCCTGGAAAGTAGGAAGTGATGGCTGCTGTAGGTACGTAGCTGTCGTGTCATTTGATCTCCAAGTGACATAAAGGAACAATTTGATGATCACTTGCACCTCTGGCAGATGTGCTAATTAAAATTACTTCTTGAAGCTGGATCAGTTTCATCGTTTTCAGTACCAAAACAGTACGAATGATCATGAGAAATGTCCTGGACATCGGCACCACTCTAGGCAACAACTAATTTAACCGTTTCCACGGGATGATTTTCTTCGTTGATGTGAACACGAATGCCTGGCTCAGGTGTTTTGATGTCGTTTAGCTGTGTTTCTTTGTCGCTGATTTCTAGCGAACATCTCTTGGACTTCTTTTAGGCTCACTCGGTTTGAAAATTTCTGGCAAAGCTGACTCAATAACTTTTCATCTGATTTCCCTGGCAACTTTGGAAAAGAAAGACAGTGTTATTGACAACTTCGTTGTGAAAGGTCTTGTCATTTCGGATTTGGACGAAAATGTGTCTATCGAGCTGCCAGCACTTTATACGAGACCAGAAGTACCTGTTTCGAAGGAGGACATACCCACTCAGGATGACATTGACCAGTGGCCACACTTGTGTGGATTATGCCTACCTGAAGTTGATGCCGAAATAGGCCTCCTCGTAGCCTATGATGTCCCTACGGTCTTTGATCCTTTGGAAGTGAAGCGCAGTCAAAACGGCGGTCCCTCTGCTTCCCGAACAAGTATGGGTTGGGTGATTAACGGTCCTTTAGCGCGTTTTCGCAAGGGTTCACGCGCTGCCAGTTTCCTTATCAAGGCTGACCCTGAATTTCATCAGGTGGTGAAGATTTTTTACGGCAGTGGTTTCAGTGAATCCAGCGCTGATAACAAACCTGAAATGTCACAAGAAGAGCTTCGTTTCCTCAGCGAGTTGGAGCGTACCATAGTCTTGAGAGACGGTCACTATGAAATGGCGCTACCTTTGAAAGATCGCGAAGCACCAGCGCCGAACAACAAATCGCACGTCGAACAACGCGCTCACTGGCTAAGGAGGAAACTTCAGCGTAACAAGGACTTGTACGACGACTACAAGTGTTTCATGGCGTACATTATTGACAAGGGTTACGTCCGAAAGGTCCCAGGGGATCTCCAGGACCCCAGTGGCATGAAATGGTACATTCCGCATTATGGCGTTTACCACCAGCACAAGACCGGAGGAATACGCGTCGTCTTTGACTGCTCGGTTAAATATCAAGGCACGTCTCTTAACGACCTGCCGCTCAAGGGCCCAGATTTGACGAACAATCTATTTGGAGTCCTAACGAGATTTCGACAGGAGAGGATCGCGCTCATGGTGGACATCGAATCGATGTTTTACCAAGTCAGGGTATCTGAGGCGGACTGCTCCTACTTCGCTTCCTCTGGTGGCGCGATGGCAACTTGGAGAGTAGCCTCGAGGAGTACCAAATGGTTGTACACCTGTTCGGTGCAGCCTCGTCTCCATC